TACCTTTTCTTTTCTCCTTTCAATTAAAAGATTATTTGGTGGTATACTTTGATTTCCAACTAGGATGTTTTATCACCTCGCATTGGGTATTTTAATTTGTTCCGTATTTGCTGTACTTTAATTTGGTGGTTTTTGTCATTGTGTCGTTCTACATTAGCTCCTGCATGCTTCTATTTGTTAAAACATGATTTGTTTTTCCTTTTAATTTCCAACCAATAAGCTGCTCTGAAAAGTGTTCCGAGTGCCTTTTCTTTATCAATGTGTTAGGTCCGCATTTAATGGAGTTGCATCCATTAACTTTGTTCTCTGCTATGTTCAGTCCTTTGCAGATCTGTGGGTTGATTTTCTGCTCAAAGAAACTGAAGAAAGGGAGAGAAGGGAGTCTGCAGACGATTCCGGCAGATCCCAAGAAGATTCACACAAGACTCCAACCTCTGCGCAAGCCGTTCCGATGGAACCTGACCATAGGACTTCCACCAGTGGTACTGAGTCTGGTTTCTCAAGACTCAACTTATCGCCAATCCAAAATACAAGCCCCTTACCTTTCCGCAGTAATTTTCGGTCGGAGCATTCTGATTCAGAATTCTCAACAGTCCCTCTCACATCGGCGGAAAGCAATCCTTATGCCTCAAGACTCCTTCCAAGATACTGAAGAAGATTCGTTGTATGTTGTAATTAATCAAAGGTATAGATCATTGTTTGATTTTGTAGACCCGCAATCTTGTTCAATCAATTCTTTCACTCAAATGACTTCGTGCATAGTTGTCTGATAATTTAATTTACAAGCCAGTTAAACAATTGGGAAGTTGTAAAACGAATGTGAGGTGTGGATGCCCAGCATAATTGCAACAATGGGAAAATTTGTGAAATCGATGCAACAGTGAGAGAGATTTGCTCGGAACTATCTGTATTCTTCAACCCAACTTGAATCTCCTGTGTCTTCCTTCATGGTCCCTCTGAGCCTCCTGAGAATATCGGTACCGGCTGAAATCTTTGTTTCGACGCAATTCAACCATACACATATATTGAGAAAATATGGGCTCACAATGTACAATCCATTCAAAGTACTTTTTATTTTTGGGTAACAAGGAGGGCTGAAGCCCAACACAAACACTAAACAGCAACATATTTAAGGGTACAAACCCTACACAAATCATTATACATTAATTGTCTCACAGCAGCAGGGGTAGAGTCCCAAATATGGAGACCCAAAGTCTCAGACATCCCAATAAAAACAAGCATATCAGCAGCAGAGTTACGTTCCCTGAAGGCATGTTGAATGTGACACCCACACCCATTTAAATTGATTATATGGACTAGTATGTGAAAATATGGACTAGTACGTGAAAAGTGATTCTTTATAGAAGTGCCTTTTATCGTACCCAAAATCACTCCCAAACTAACCCTAACCAATTCCATACAATTCTGTTTGATCGGATTGAACTCATACACCAACATTCGGGTCACTTTTAAGGTCAAACCAAACAAATTCAACAAATTTGAGTTGAAGAGGATCGCATTACAAAATCTTAAATCCTATGAACATTGAATTATAATCAGAATGAGAGGATGAGTTTAGAGCAGACGTAACAGGATTCTCAACGAACAATAACATTTCCATTTCCAGAAACATGTCAAGCTCACATGCTTATGCCACATTTCAGAGACTAACTTGATGTCCAAAAATCTAAACCAAATGCAAATAGATGATCAATTCATATAAGGAATATACTTGAAACACTAGCAATATATCAAAGCACGCCACAGCCACCTGATTTAATTCAGGCTTGTTTGGGACACAATGCGAAACTTTCATATAACTTGAGGACCAAAATATCTTGCTCGCAACCAAAAGGAGAAGCAGCATGAAATAACATACACCATAACTGTTCAAATAAGCGACAACCAATTTACAAGACAGCATTGGAAAACATAAAGTTGTCAAAATAAACGTATGGCTAATGTGCTGTTTAAAGGCTTCCCGTGATTACGTATAAGCACAACACAAAACTAATTCTGGAAACTAAGACCACATAAATAGTCATTTGAATAACAAAACCCAAACACTTGAACAGCATGGGAAGCTCAACTACAAAACCTAGAGCTTTTAAAGCACAACAAAACACTTCAGCCTTTCTAAGACCTCTTGTTTTTCAGCCCCTGCGGAATCTTACTCAGAACCTTGGCATCAAACACTGCATAGTGCTTTTTGAATTCAATAGTTGCCTTCTCTGCAAATGGGTCTATCTTGTCTTCATACTTCTCATAAAGGACAGGCACCGTGTGCAGCAAAACAAAAGCTGTTTTACAAAATGAGGATTATTAAAATCAGTACAATAATAAATCAAACAACAAATTTGTGCACACAACACAAGTTTTCCGTAGTCCTTACTTATGTAAAACAAGGTCAAGAAATTGCACCAAGTCCCCACAATTGAAACAACCCACAAGCCAGCAATAACCTGAAATCGACAGTACATTATCAGAGCAAACTTAAAAAATAAAGTTTATGTATAAGAATTATAGCATAGCAACAAGTTCTAAAAACTAGCAATCCTGATGGGACAATAAACTAAGCACATTAAGCTGTTTAAACTTTAAACCCATTAAATAACCAATCTAGTCATCATACGCTGATTGAAAAGCTTATCAAAAAGAGTTATAGAGATCAATTCTACGTACGATCAGGAATTTCTTCAATTCTCTGCCAGATGCAATATCATGAAGGACCGCAAAAGCCCAGTTGATTTGAAGTCTCAGCTCAGAAGCAACCTGCAGGAATGGTTCCTCAGGAAGACGAACTTCTGGGATGCGAGGTGGAGTCCTACAAAAGCAAATTTATTAACTTAGAAGGCAAAGATCGAAACAGAATCATAAATTATATTCAGATCCTATGCAAGCACCCAGAAGATGAAACCATGAATTTGGAAAAACCCAGTATCTTACTTGTGGATAAAAGAATGGGCATTGGACCAGAGGAACAAGACCGCTAGGGTACCAATTAAAATGTGGCCAACAAGAGTAAGCAGGTGGTACTCAAGCAACTCAAAAAGGACCCAGACTGCAGTGGCTCCACCAAGAACACCAGCTGAAACCTTCTTGTTTCTCCACAAGAACACATCAGCAGCTGCAACATTTTAGAAATGTCAAAATCTGAAGTCTGGACTCTAATGCGATAACTAAAGAAAGAGCATCCGAGTTACCAAACGGCATTGAAGATCCAAATATCAAAGTAAATGAAGTGATTAACAGATCAACTAAGAAGATCGGAACCATTGCTAAAGAAGATGTAAATGAAGAAGAAAAAGGAACTTAGTTACTCTATATTTCTGCTCGAAAAACACAAACGTTCGCATCTTCCTGCCCATATATATTTTTTTCTATAGTTTCCTAGCACCCGAACAAAACAATAGAAGAAATAAGAAATCAAACCCACAAGTTCAGAAATTTTCTCAGCACCCAAACAAAGCATAAAAGCATCTAACCAAGAAAAATAATCACGATCTCAGATCAACCTAAAACCTACACAATCCACACACAAATCAAACTAGCATACTCGTTTCACTTCTTTCAAAAGACAATGTTCAAATTTTTTTTTTTTTCTAAAAGATATGATTCTTAGTTTCAAATCAAATAAAATAAATAAAAAACAAATAGAGAGAGAATGGATGTCCGTACGCTTTCCTCCACCGAAAACATGGTGAACTGGTTTCTCCCTCCCGAAAATCCTGAAAACCTTGGGCTTCTCAGACTTGGGCGACTCCGGTTTCTCGTTATCCGAGTCAGATGACGACGAAGACGACGAGTCGTGATCGTGGATCTTCTCGCTGATCTTCTCCATCATTGATTTATCGTGCTCCACCGTCGAACCGGCACTCTCCGACTGGTCAGCCATGATCTCCGAAACCCCAAAAACAAAAATATAAATGAAAATGAAATCTCCCGAAACTTTCAGATGAGTGACCGAAATAATAACACACCGTCAGAGTAAAGTAGGGTTTTGGGGTGGGGATAAGAGCGAGCTATATAAGGTTGCGGGACACGAGACTAGATCTGGACCGTTGATTTTGTAGATTTGCTCGAGCCTTGCGGTTCGGGTCCAGAGCCAGTCGGTCCGGGAAAATTTGAAATGGTAAAGTGACCGACTTGGGTTTGACAGGTTGCGAACCACGTGGCGCGGAGAAATCAAGACATGAGTGGTTTGGACGGTCGGGTGACTTTTTTTCGTGGGTGGGTTGTGGGGTCCACTTTTCTTAGAGGGCTCCACGTAGCGTTTGTGTGATGTAGAGAAATTAGAGATAGATTCAGATGTGGTTTGCTTCCCTTCATTTTTTTTGTTTTGTGATGGGGATGGTTTTAGGGATCAATTTAAAATTTAAAACTTTGGCAAGTTTATAACGAAATTAAGTAGAACAAAAATTAATTGTATGAAAATTTGGTAGGTTTTAAATCCTACACAATAACAAGAGGTTTTTTCTACTTCAAAAAAGTCTATAATGTAGGCATTGAAAGCTCATGAGTTGAATTCTCACCGAAAATACGAGCGAATAATTTGTGTATGAAAACTATCTTACAGATTCTAGCATGACTCGCCACTATTTTCTTTTTCTTTTTCCTTTTGGTTTTTTTTCAAAGTCGCCACCATTTCTTGAAGTGGTATTTATTTTCCGCTTCAGACAAAACCTAAGATCTAGGATGGAAAAAGAAAAGAAAAGAAAAGATCCCAAATTTGCACGGTAAATAAAATTGGCATGAGTTGGCATCATAACTCAGAGATTTTAGGCTCACTTTTAACCACTAAAATAGGAATTTGTAAAGTTTCAACTTTCTAAAGGATTTTGTTAGCTATTATTTTACCTTGATTCGAGTACAAATTAACTCTCCAGATGAAAGATAATTGTTTGTAATTTATTAAACTTTACAAGAGGGTTTTTACACTTTTAAGCTGTTAATGCAGCTTTTGAATCTTTCTTCTTTATTTTTTCTTCGGCATGGGACCTTGGAATCTTGCTGGTTGGCGGAATACGTCAGTTTCTGGTAGAGCTCTGGGCCAGCCGGCCCACTGGACAGCAATCCGAGTCCGTTAAAAAGAATGTGCATCGACTGTCGACATTTTAGTCACAATCAATCAGTATGAAAAAGAGTTTACCCTTGAAATGAAATGGAATGATGATTGATGTCCATTCTTTTTCATGCAGTAATATTCACTGGGCAAATATAAAAAAACTATATGCAGCTATTTGATTTGCAAACAACTATCAAGTGAGGGGCCTGAAGCCCACGGATCACAAAGGCTCTTCCAGCCCTCATGTCACATTCAAGATGCTGGCTCTCACATTTTTTCTTTTGGCTTCATGTTTTTGGCAAGGATTTTGTTAGGGAGTCACCCGCACGTTGATGCATTACGAGTCTCATGTGAAACTATCCACTTATGTGTAAGCGACTGATTCTAACATTTTGAATAGATTTGAAGTTGGGCAACCGCTACATCTACAAGTTTCATGTTACTGGTCTGCAAAACAATATACCTAATATTAGTGTCTTTTTCTTCAACTTGACATTTGTGGACCCTTATCTGCAGCAAGGAAAAATGGGAAAATTGATGACTGAAATTGACAAACAACTCCTACAATGCAAAATGGCCGTGTGAACACCTCTAATTTATGGTCATTCTTATTGCATTGACAAGAAAAAATGGACCCTGCTGAAACTTTTCCCTTGTGGCAGAAAAAACTAGGCATACACATCACATTCACAATGAACCTCATCTAACTGGAAATGAAATCATATTCAAAATTGTAACCTCATGTGTAAACACAATAAAGATTATCAGACATAAGATCAATTATGTGATTATCAGACATAATTAAGATCAAATCTAATAAGATTACCGGAAAGGTCTACCCGGCTTTTCTAATAGAGCAGAAAAGAAAACCTCTTTATCATCTTTATCAAGCTTTGGAACAACAACCCATTTGTGCTTCTTATATCTCAGCATCCTAAGGGCTTCCAAATAATCACTCAAATCCTCCTTCAAACAGAAGAAGCTGTCAACCCACAAGAAACCCCCAGGCCTCAGAGCTCTGTCCCAATCATACAAAACAAAGTCCAGCAGCACAAAATCAATCCAGCCATCTAGAAATCTTGTTGTGTGGATCAAATCCAGAGTGTTATCGAAAAATGGCAGCCGTTGATTGATCGTCAAGTAAAGCGGGACGAGTCCACGAAGAGCTATCATTTCGTTGAAAGGTGCCCCAAGATTGATAGTTGCTGAGACAATAGTGACATTGAATTCCCTCATCCTGGCTGCAAAAGTCCCAGTTCCTACACTAAAATCCAGTCCAATTCTGATCTCTCCAGGCTTGATGTTAAGCACTTCAGGGATTAGGAAATCTGCAGTCACATTTGAATTGGTGTCTAGATATGCTGGTTTGATCCATCTGGGCTTTTCATGGTCTTGAAGATTGAAGCAATCTGCACATTTGAAGAACCCCTTTTGAGTCTTGTTGCTTGCCAAGCAAGTAAAGTTCTTGCACCTGTAGTTGCTCCACCGGACATTTCGATTATCAGGGAGCTTCCACATGGACTCGTGAATTGGAAATGGCTTGCTGTATAGCTTTGGGGCCCTGGAAAAGCACCTCCTCCTTGGAAGTGGATCACATCCATGAACCATTAGCTTCTGAGCCAGCCTCCAATCATCGTTGCAGATTTCACCAATGTCATAGTCCATGTATTCTTCAAGCTCTTTCTTCATAGCAAAGCAGGCATGGCCAATACTGGTGAAAGTTCCATTGGCTCCCATGAAATTCTGCTTTCCTAATCTATTCGGCTTGATCTTGACATACTTTCGAATCTCCTCGATCAGAAAGTAATCAGCAGGCTCATCGGATTGCTGCTTCGGTTTTAAGAGAGGATGGATGTCTTTGGTACCACTGTTCAGCTTATGAGTCTCTTCATTCTGTGACAGAGATGTCTGCACTGACTTAATATGCCCCAAAATATCAGCAAGAAAGGAACTGTATTTCAGCACATGTTTCGATGAAGACGGCTCTGGTTCTGAATCTCTGAACTTTTCGAGCTCTTGTTGGATTTTCTGAATAACAGTTTCAAGAGTTCTTCTCAAATGGCTGTCTGGCCTGCTTTGGCTCTCAGGGTTTACATAATTGCAGAGAGTATCAGTGACATGAAATGATCCGAGAGAGTTGAATTTGGATAAAGTACCAAGAGAGATGAGAAGAGCAAAGATACTTAATACAAAGATCGATCTGCGAACTCCTCCTCTCCATGTTCCTAACTTCATAAAAACATTTGGTTTCCTCATATCTATCACACTGAGATGAAAAGCTGGAATTTGTATGCCGCTACAGAAAAGAAAAGCAGCTTTTGAAATAAGCGCTGACCAAACATAACCCCAATGATTTTCAGCAACAATTCAAATCTAAAGGGTGCATAGAGATTGGTAGCTTTGAGATCAGAGTCCAAAGGTTGCATTTGTTTTATTTGATCGAAGAGCTTATTGGGCAGATTTTCATGAGCACTTTATCAGAATGCAAAAGTCATTGAGAAGGATTGATTTCTTGTTTTATTAAGAATATGGGGATCAGTACTTTTTTTAATTCCTTTTCCTTCAAATCTAAGGAATAAAAAAGTGAAGGGTGAATAAATCAAACATTAGAAATGTGGTAATTATGTTATTGTGCAGTGTGATTAAGAGACATCTAGAGGATCAGCCGCAACACTGAACAAACACGTGCTACACTGTTGCTGCACAACGCTTACATAGTTCAATTTGACTTTTTTTAGAGCTCCAAGTCCCCTCCTTTCGAGAAAAAATAGCAAATATCTTATGGAAAGCTGAATTGAAGCACAAGCAACCCTAACCCTATGACCCTGTGATTAAAGAAAGAATTGGTTTTTTCAAGTACTGAACATGATTAGGAACCAAGCAAGAAAGAAAACACACAAGAAGCTTTAAGTGAATGACAAACAAAATTCACAAGGGTCTCCCTTCCTCACATGGCAAGTTGGCAACCATGTATGTAGATGATTAAAAATGAATTCGAAAACTTTATCATCACCCAAATCAAAGTAATTAACATTAATCAAATTCCATGAGACACAGTTGTTTGTGCATAATCCACTTCACTAATGTCACAAAATCAGTACCCAAAGAAGAAGAAAAAACCAAATTTACATTTCCCAATTCCCAAACCAACACAACCAATACAAAACAGAAAACCCAAAACCCAAAACCCAAAACAAACAACTAAAAATAAAAAATAAAAGGATAAAAACTCAAGAAGATATCAGTCAATCAGGACAATCAGTCACCTCCTCCATCTCCGATCGGCCGGGTACTGAGACAAAGGCACGACCTCCTGCAACGGTGTAGACAGAGGCGTCGGCAACGGAGAGTTCCGGCAAACCGGGCACGACCCGTTGAGCTTGAGCCACGCGTCGAGGCACATCAGGTGAAAGTAGTGCCTGCACTCGGGCATCATCCGAAGCATCTCGGCGTCCTTGTAGTCGCACAAGCAGATGGAGCACGTGGACGAATCGGCGGCCGTCACGTCCTTGGAGAAGGGGAACTTGGGGTAGGAGTTGATGACGCTCTGGTGGATCCCGACGGCAGCGTTCTCATCGTCGTCTTGCTGCTGCTGGTCGTTGTCGTCCTCCGCGACGAAGATAATTCGGGGGAGGATGATGCCGTCGGAGTTGTTCGGGTTCCGGTTCGGATTGGGAGGCGGGTGGTGGTGGTGGCGGGAGACGCGGCAGCAGATGTAGGAGGCCAGGAGGAGAGTGGAGAAGAGGACGAGGAAGCCGAGCGCAATGGCGATGCCATAGCCGAGTCCGAGGGTAGTTAGGTAATTTTGGGTGGAGGGGGGGGGGGTGGGGGCGGACGACATTGGAAGAGGAGGGGAGGAGGTAGGGGGGTTTTAGCCATTGGGAGTTGGGTGGGATTTTTTTTTGGGGAGAGAAGGTGGGTGGGTAATCCAGCTGCTGCATTTAATACTCACACCAGAGACAGCATTAAATTGGTGGGAAAATGTGAGTGGTGAGTGAGTGGTAGTGATTATCACCCTAATTTTGAAGGAAAAGTTCCATCAAACGCATATAAGTACAACATTTTTACGTGGCATAATATTATTGACCGGAATAGAAAAATTGTGTTATTCATATTACAACTAAGTTTTTCTCCTAATTTTCTCTTCTTCATTTTTCCTCTTATTTTTGGGTGGTGGGTAGAACAACTCTTGAGGATTTGATTTTGTTTGTATTTGCATGGTTTAATAGGTTTTGGGTTGGGCTTGGGCTTTCGTTTTTCTTTAAATTAATAAGAAATATAAAATAAAACTATTAGTATAATATGCTCGATACTCGAATCTCTTGGTTTAAATGTCTAGATATAAGTTTTTATTCAAAATTTGTCTGGAACTCAATGTCATTTTTTAGTGGACTAGACCTCATTGACATCTAAGTTTAAGTATTATGAAGCGGGAGACTTTTGTGTAATTTTTAAAACATTGTCATGTTAATCAATCCACATGTGTTATAACGTGGATAATTTTCAATATTATACATTAAATTATAAACTAATTTTTGAAAACAAAAATGAAGTAAAATCCCCTAGATTTAGAATGTTAAAAGATCATGAAGAGTTCATGAACTTGCTATGTTAAAAGATCTGTATAGTCTGAGCTTCGACTTGAATTGTTTTTCTTTTATACAATACGTGTCATATTTTGATCAACGCGATCTTCTTTGATAAAAGAATTTGGATTTGGCCCCTCAAAGCCAGACCATTTGGAAATAATCAAATGCCATTTGAAGGAACGTTGGCATCCAAACTAATCTAAAATTATTAATTTGTTTAAATATCCTTAGAAGAGCTGTTTACATAAGCATGTCATCACACATACGCTATTTTATTTTATTTAATGATCGATTATTGACTTCTGGGCATTGGCTATGAAGTACTGGCAAAGTGTTGGAGTGGAGTGATTCAGTATTGAAGAAAATCAAAATAAACAAAGACTAAATGAAAGGGATGATGTATCATATTATATGTTTAATAGTCTAACGATATAATAACAACTCTCGTTAGGGCAACATGTTCGCCTCTTGTATTGAGTTCGTCTAAACTTTTTGATAAGGATATACCATTGAGTTAAAGTACAATTCTACGCATTTACGTATAATATAACCATATTTATAAAAGCTTACATCCATATATTCTACTCACACTTCTCTACATTTAAACCTTATAAATAAACTACAAACCTAGAGATTAACTTTCCTCTTGCATTTTTGTTCTTGAATTGCCTGGCTGGAAATGTTAACGGTCATAGTACAATTCATCTTCACAACCACATGTCTCTTGATAATATTCAACATATTCACCCTCCCTGGAATTCTAGAATAGCTACTCATAGTCAATAACCCCGATCCCAGGTCCGCCCACAAATTGGGATTGGATATGAGCCGATCAGTTATGACATCGACAGTTATATTCATTCTCATGGTCCGTCGGGCCTTAGCCTGGCCCCGCGAGCCATAAGCCTCCCCCACCACCTTGCCGTGATAATACAGAGTGGTGGTGGTGTTGCTGTACCTAAACGAAGCCGCGTTGGGATTTTTCACCGACACATCGGCTGTTAACGATATGTTGGAGCCCGGCTTAGGGGTTGTGTTGTTGTTGATCAGCTCCAGCCTTGTAACTGTGACTTTGTTCATTTTGATCTTTGGCTCCTTCACGCGGAACACAGTGAACGCTAGAATTATGATCACCACGGCTAGGAGTAAGAGCAAGGCTGTTATGCAGCCGCAGCAGTTGATGAACTTTTTTTGTCTAACTTCTTTCAAGTGAAGGGCAGCCTCGTCAGCGTCGCTGCTCTGGCCGTGGGCGGCAGGGGCTAGTGGTCTGACCTGCTCCTTCTCCACCATGGCTAGAGGGTTGAGAAGAGATGGGGAGGGGAGAGGGGTTAAGGAAAGCTGAGGTTTTGGAAGAGTTAGTGTTAATATGTAAATGAATGTAGTGTATTTTTATAGTATTTGTTTAGGGGGAAGTGGGAATACGATGGGCTAAGTTTGAGTTTTCTACAAAATGTTGACACATATTGTTGTGCCTTTTGCCTACCCAAAATATTTCAAGCTGCTCAATCTTGACTTCCACTAAAGTTCACACATAATTGTAGTATGAAGCTGCTACTATTTGAGACTGAAAAATAATTTTTTTTCTTTTCAGATTTATTATTTATATAAAATTTGAACATATGACTTTTTTTGGGTACATCAACACAATTATGAAGGTAGATGTGGGTTTAGGCCAGTTGGCTAGAGTAGTGAACTCGTCCCCCTTTTACTTAAGTTCGAATCCCCCTTTTGTATGATGAAGAGTCTTTGTTTATATTTTCTGTATTGATATTGTATATATACGTAAAATGCATCGTTTTAGGGATGAATGAATGAAATATGATAAATTCTGAGAGTGATTGATTTTATGCAGACGGGAGGTCTCTTTAAGGATTGTCAAATATGGTGGTGCTGGCGCCTACTTGAGTGAGACAAACCATATGAAATTCTAAATATAATTATTTCATGCAATTGACTATTATCATCTATAAAATAGAAAATTATTATAATTCGTAATTATTCCTTAGTGTAGTGTGCCACCAACTTTTAACTACTTTCTCATCTTCCATTTATTTATATTAAATAAATGGATGGAAGAAAGGAAGCCTTTCTTTCCCCGGCACTCTTTTTGTTTTGACAGGATTTATATTTATAGTTAGCATCATAACATTTCATCTACCGGCATTACTACAATATAAAAAGGCCTCACCTTCCTTTTGACAAGATTTTATTACTTTGTAAAGTACAAAAATGATAGAAGTTTCGCATTACCTACTACTTCCACTATGTGACTAATTGCTTGGCGATTGTTTCTTTAACCCTACTCTTTGCCGGGTACCAAGTGCAAACAACATATTGATCCCCACTGTGTAGCTAATACAATTAATTTTATTTAATTTTGATTTTATGAGACAGTGACACGTGAGAAACTATTATATGATACGTACTGAAATGTTATTAAATTACATTTTATGTGTTATAACATTGGTGGATATTGGTTATACCACCTAAGAGGGGTACATTCCGACCAAATAATCACTCGTTCCACACTTGTTCTATGTGATTTATGAGTTGGATTCCAACTTTCATATATAGGATCGGCCCAAATTCCCAACTTCCCACCTTTTGGGCCTGTCAAAAATCAAGCTCCAAACTAATGTAGTTGACTTAGTTGTGGAGACTAGAGATGAGAACACATAGACATCTACCATTAAATTCAAAGAAGCTTCTGCTGGACCTAGCTAGCTACTTTCAAGAATATCAATACATTTTCTTTCCCTTGACTAAATCCTTGAAAGCAACATAGTTTTTAAGGGTATAGGGAAAGAAAAATGAATCCATCATTGGAGTAATTGCATCAATTTTTGACAAGTCAGATAAGGATATTTCATTGTCTTTGTTGCTTGCTGCAAGTCTCTAACTTTTTCTCTCAAGTTCCGACCATGGTGATTTTGGATTTTGGTTCCTCACTGCAAACCAAACCATCTTTAAAAGATGAATAAAAGTAGCACCAAATTATTACAGTAATGGGCTTGTTTGATACGTCGGACTGTACTAAAAACTTATTAAAGATTTCATTTGGTTATTTTAGGTTCTACAAGCTAAAAGCATTTACAAATCAAGGCAAACAATAATCAGCAGAAGTATCAGAGAAACTACAGTAGCTTTACTAAAAATTCTAGACCAATTTGTTACAGGATAGACCGATCAAAAGGTATTTAATCTCTGCATTGCCTCTGCATAGTTTAGGTTCAACAAGCTAAAACTCAAGCACAAAAAATGTTTACAAATAAAGGCATATACAATCATCAGCACAAGTATCAGAGAAAACTACAACAGAGAGACTCCGGATACAAACTTTAAAGTCGATAAAAAAATTCCAGACCAAAAAGAAGAAGAAAGCAATAAGTTTCCGGCCTCTTCCGAGTCAGAATTTTCATTGGCAGTGGAATTCCTGGATTGCCTGCCGGGCCAAACTAATTGTCAAACTGCAATTCATTTCCCCACTTCTTCTTTTCTTCACCAGACCCACCATACTCACCTTCCCGCTCAGCTTGGCATAGCTCTTCAAATTCAAAACCCCTGAACTAATATCACTGCTTGAGGATGGTCTGCCATCAAGATTTGCCTCCACCGAAACGCTCACCTGCTTGCTGTGCCTCATCTTAATAGACCCTTTTGGAATTGTTCCTTGTCCAACTGTAATACCCTCATGTGACAAAACCAATAAACTCTCATCATATTTCAGCTTACCCCAGTTTTGATTCTTCACCTTAATTTCTGCCCTCAGTGTCATGTTGATGGCAGTGGATGTTCCAAGCGCGCTGCTGAAATTGTTGACAGAAATTGCAGCCAGCTTGATGTTGGGATCCTTGAAGCGAAACACAGTGAGGCAAAGCACCCCAAGCACTACTATCTGGAGCAGAACAAGTGCAATGACAATTCCACAGTATTTGATTCTTCTTCTCCTGGGAAATGACTTGGGAGAAAATATTGTGGGAGAAAATGTTGTTATGACTTCTTCTTCTTCTCTCTTTGAGCCATGGGGTTGCTGCTGCTGATGTTGGTCCTTGTGATCAGCCATGTTTGAGTTCTTGAAAGGCTATGAACTTGAAAAATGAGTTTTTTATGTTTTTTGTTTTCTCTATTTTGTTGTGACCAAAAGAACCAAAAGTGAGAGGCAGTGAGGAAAATTTGGTGATTAACGTGTCCGTGACTTTGAATGTTCTGCCATGAAGGTGTGAAGGAGGAATATCTCTGGTTGGTTTTCTATTTGGACTTTGACAGCAGCCATGAGGAGGAAAGTCTTACAGGGGCTTAATTAATTAATTATTATTATTAATAAGAAAAAAAGAGGGTTTTGGTATACTAATTACTGAATAAATTGTCCTAATAATTGGCTAACCACCACAAGAAAATGTATTAACACTAAGTGTTGACATATGGGGTTGAGCGCAATATTGCGATCCCACATGGACGTATAAAATAAGATGGATTTGTTTGTTGAGAATATAAATAATTGGATGGTGGAGTTTATATATGGTTTTTTTAATTTATAGGGGAGAAAGAGGAGAAATTTTTGTATGTTCCGGGTAAATGATAGAGCCACTATGCTAAATCATTAAATTTGACGTCATAAATCCTTTGCTTTTAACAAAGAACACTGTTTGACTTTGTCTCCCAAAAACTCATACAAATGGACAAAAAGATGAGGGAAGAATTGGACTTTGTCTCCCAAAAACCCATACACATGGACGTATAAAATAAGATGAGTGGAAATGGAGATGCGGGGTATCGATCCCCGTACCTCTCGCATGCTAAGCGAGCGCTCTACCATCTGAGCTACATCCCCGATTTGGTTATTATTTTAAATTTTAATATTTTGTATCAATCCAATGTGACTGGGACACGTGGCATAACTAGCCAACACTCAACATATATAAGCTCAAGTAAGGAGCTTTTCAGGCTTAACTTGATGTTTAGTGAAGCAAATAAAGTAGGAGATGAGTTGGCAAATTTTAGTGATCCGCTTAATAATCATTCCATTTGCTTTTTTATTTTTCCCAAATAATATAGCTCTAAAAAATTTATTTGATATTCAGTAGTTATAGAGGATCATCTTTGTAATTTTAGAGCCGAACCATTAAAACAAGCCTTTGACTCTCCTCCGTACACATTTCGCATATAAACTCTGTCTTATTTGGGTAAGAATCCACAAAAACCATTACACAAGCTAAAAGAATCCCTCGGTCTTCTTGGCTCATGATTTAGATGATGAGTTTAATTTCATCATTAATATAGTCATGGTGAATTTGTATTTCTTAACATTTTGGGTTATTATGGATCCCAACCAATGAGATCTTTATTTTATTTTTTTTCCCTCTCCAAGGCATCAGAGAGTATTAATTAATTTCCTTCAACAAATTGTTAAACAGTTCAGAAATCTTGAGCTGGCCCTGTTGTTTGCAAGGGATTGGCAAGGAAATGGCCCCAATGATAGGAAGCTTAATTTGGATGTTGAAATCGATCTCATAGTCAATATCTGCATCTTCAGAAATGTCCTTTGCCAAGGTCATGAGCATACTGAATGGCACCTTTGCCAACACCAACAAAATGGACTCTTCTCCAGGCTTCAGTGATGCAGGCTCTTTCAACGTCGCTGATAAAGCCTCGCTGCTCCACTCATATGCACATATATAGTAGAAAACAATCAATATATTCCAAATGAGCTTGCTTGAACATACAATTTAAAATTCATTTATGTTCACAAAAAAGAAGTTACTTTTTGACAGATAGTTTAGCATGTTATGTTATCGGACACGCAAAGAAAGAGATCACAAGTGTCGTAGGTATGCTTATTTCAATCATTACGTGACTAAAATCACCTGATGAGAGAGATATAAACGCATCATTTTAAATAACCGGTAGTATGAAATTTGGATCAAACCTGCCGCCGCTTTTCAATTTGAAAGAGGCCCGACTGACGGGAAGATAAAACTCGAAGGGGTTGTACACGGAGATCTTGAAAACGAGTTCTATGGAGTCGAAGTTTAGGTTTTCAAATTGAAGGCCCACAATAAGCGCAGATCTTTTCTTCATCTCAGCCAATCTCCCTTCCAAAAAGCCCTTGGCCAGGTTCACTACATAGTTTTTGGCATTGCCCGCTAACTGTGACACTTTCCAAAACGTATTCGAAAATGCAGAAGAAACAAAAGTTGCACTTCTTTGCATTATTATTGAAGAGGAAAATATATTTGTAAATTTGTAATTAACTTTGAGCTTATTTGTTATGCTCCCATAGACAAGGAGAGCTTAGGTTGATGTATGTATATATGGCCAACCATGATCCTTTTCTTGCATCTCTTTCTCGTATATAGTTCCAAAATATAAATAAAGAACTGGGTTCCTTTTATTTTCCATCCGGTAAAATAGAATTTGTTCTGTAGATTCATCATGTTGTGGAAGCAATATTTTGGGTCTTTTACTTGTTTAATAAGGCCATTATATTCCTTCTCATCCCTTTCCCCTCCTGTTCCTGCTTTTGTAATTCCCCAACTTTGGCTCTGGTCAAACTTTTTACAGTTTTATTATATTTTTAATTAAATAATTAAGAGCATTTACTCTGACCGAACTCCTAGGTTCGATTATCCTGCCCAACATCACTTGTATATAAAATGAACATTAAAAAAGAAACTTCAATATATTTTTTTAGTACAACTTATTGGGATGGGGGTTTACACAAATACTCATGGGTGTCTGGAAGTTTTGAACCTCTGCCGACATAAGTGGAGGT